CTCTCTCTCTCTCTCTCGATATAATCTAATACATGGCATACATAGGATACCCAAATGTGAGGAACACAATAACGAGCGAATGGTATTCCTTCAAAATACTAATAAAGATTTAATTGAGACAATGGCCAGACACAGACTAGACACCGATAGTCTACTGGCACGGATTAATACTATGTTCACCATGGTCAATAATCAAATTGTGATTGAAGAATTCGCTGCCAATAGTGATGGGTTTTTAAACCCCAAGAATTTACATCTATATAATTATGCTCAAACGAGAATAAATGAACTCGTTGAAAATTTATAAAAATTATATTATTTACATTTACATTTTTTTACATTTCATTTACATTAATTATTTAGCTTAAAATATATTAAATAATCACTAACAGTTAATTAATTTCTATCATGGTGAGAAGACTTCATGCATGAGTGGCCCAAAGTGTTGTTTAATATATTTATACTCCGTGTCGTAGAATTGGTACTGAATATCAGTTAAAATATTTAAATCAAATAAAGTATACATTATTTGCTGTAACTTTAATTGTGATTCCGATTCCGACCGGTATTTCAATAGTAAATATCTTTGCAGTAAATATATATACAGTTGTTGTTCGAGTCTAACAAACAATTTAGTTTAAAAAATTTAAAAAATAATTAACAATTAATTAATATTTAAAAACATGGTAACTATATTATCATTACTTAACACTTTCTCCATGAACAAAATGTGGTCGATTTGTGCTAAACAGTGTGATCGCCAGAATCTGTACATAAATTACCTATTTGTTATTTTTGGTTAATTATTATCATGTAGTTTTCTTTGGGTAAAATATCAATCTCACCAAGTTTGTAACAATGCTATCGCTGTAATCCCAATGCAATAAAAACTTATCATAATATTCTCTCAGTTTAACATTAAATCTAGATGACTCGATCATGTTCAAATTTACTTGGATAGAATGGTTATTTATCTGAAATATAACATGATCATATTAGAATTAAAAATTATTAAATTATCATTAATTATACAAAACACACTATAAATGACAAAATACTCACTAAAGGTGTTATAAAACTATTGGTCTCTCTATCAAAGTACTGTAGAGTACAGACGGCTATGAGATCTCTGGTGTTGTACTTAATTAACGCCAACCTATCGTCGGCACAGATATTGTCAAAACCAGACAAACATTTTGTGAAACCAATTATATTTGTAATCATTGTTTCATTCATTAATGAAAAATATTTCATCACTTCTTCCAAGTCATCCATTTTATACGTTAAGCCGTTTATATTCAACGGATAGTTGAATACAACCGATGCCCTCATCAGCTCTGATATCCGATTGATTTCCAATTGCTTTAATCCGTTATAGTCTGTTAATCCACTGCTTATGGGAATAATTGTTAATTCTTGGGATGAATTTTGTTTATAACTTTGATTTTTATGATTGCATTTTAAGCCAATCTCAGCGTTATTTTCAGCAATAGTTGAAGTGATTTCTGGATTAGACTCAAAATTATTGTAATTTTGTTTTAATTTCATTTGTCTTTCAATTTTGATTTGTTTTCTCCTTTCCTTTTCCTCTGTATTTAGTATTAATTCCTATAAATAGTAATAATAATTAAAACCAAAACAATTAATTCACACAATATTTAATACCTTTTTCATTCCCACAGCAAAACACTTATTAAGTCTGCATTTATTACACATTTTTCTCGTCAATGTATTTATTATGCATTTGCCATTTGAAGGACAACACTTAGGCTATTAATAATGCAATTTTTAATTAAATCAATTCATTATTATAATTATTAATTATTTATATATTGTAAATATAATTACTTTATTTTTGAGGGCATTTTTCCTGAAGAATCCTTTACACGGCTCACAAGTAATGGCACCGAAATTACGGGCTATTAAATTAAACAATTTAAAATGTACTAGATAGTTTGTTTAAATATTTAAAAACTAAATTTACAGAATAATATTTATTATTTATAAATATTTAAATGTAAAATAACAAACATTGTAACAAACCTTTTGCTTTATCGCCACAAATTTCACACATTATGTATATTTTCTTAGCACTCATATTGTTTTTGGATTTTATTTATTCAATATTTTGTATATATTTATTATAAGTACTGTTATAAAAAATAATAACCTTGTTCAGATACACAGCATAATAATAATAACAACAATATAGTAAACTGTGTATGGAATCACTTTTTAATGGATGTCTATTGAATGCGATAATCACATTAAAGCACTCAATCAATTGATATGATATTGAATTTATTTATATTAAACTAAATATTATTTATCTATTATATTGAAAATAATTCATACATGCTGTAAAAATATTGTATTAAATATTTAAACAGAAATTTAACTTGACCAAAATATTGTTACAATTTAAATAATATTATTATTCATTTTATAATTTTATATTAATTTTATGTATTTATAAACATTATGGTGAAAATACTTCTTGCATAAGAGGTCCGAAGTATTTTCTGTAGGGATTATTATTAACATTGAAAAAATCATATCTACTATTGTTTAAAACTTTTAAATCAAATAAAGTGTTCATTAATTTTTGCATTTTTATTCCCGATTGCGAGCGATATTTCAATAGTAGATATCTTTGCAGTAAATATATATACAGTTGTTGTTCGAGTCTAACAAACAATAAAACAAAATTATCAAGCTTAATTAATTTTAATGTAATTATACAATTAAACGTTTCATTACTTCACAGCATTTCTATGCATTAAATTTGGTTGATTTGGGTTAAACAGTGTGATTGCCCTCAACTATAATAAATAATAAATTTTAATAATATCATTATTAATACAGAATGATAAAATAATAATAATACCAAGTTTATAATAATATAATTGCTGTAATCCCATTGCAATAGAAAGTTATCAAAATATTCTTTCAATATTATAACAGAATTAGAGGATTCAATGAGAATAACATCGAGCTGTAGAGCATGATTATTACCCTGGTGATAAATTAGAAATATTTTATACATTTAGTAAATAGCCAGATTTATAACTACTTACTATTGGTGTTATAAAACTTCCCGTTTCTCTATCATAATGTCTTAGAGTAGAGATAGAGATGAGATCTTTGGTGTTGTACTTAACTAATGCTAACCTATCGTCGGCACACATATTGTTGAAACCCATCAAACCTTTTGTGAAACTTATTATATCTGTTATGAGATTTTCATCCAAATATGAAAAATCTCTCATTAATTGCTCCAAATTCTCTATTTTATACGTTAAGCCGTTACTAATCAAAGGATAATTGAATACAACCGATGCCCTCATCAGCTCTGATATCCGATTGATTTCCAATTGTTTTAATCCGTTATAATCTGTTAATCCACTGCTTATGGGAATAATTGGTAATTCGTGTGATATAATTTGCTCGTAACTTATGTTTGAATTTAACACATAATCAATGAGATTGTGATTCAAATCAATTTCAATAAATGTTTCATTAAATAATGTGTTATTTTGTAAATTAATATCAAGATTCTCTTCCAACCCCTTTTGGTTTATTGTATTTTTAATTGTCAATTGCTTTTGTCTATCACTTTTATCGTTCTTTAGGATTAATTCCTATAAATGTTAATTACATTTAAATTATTTAATTAATTCAGTAAAAAGTAATACCTTTTTCATTCCCACAGCAAAACACTTATCAAGTCTACACTTTCTGCACAATTGTCTCATTAATGGATTTATAATGCATTTGCCATTTGATGGACAATACATAAGCTATTGGTATAAGTTGTTAAATCATTATTTTTAATTATCATTAATTATAATCAATACCTTATTCTTGAGACCATTTCTCCTGAAAAATACTTTACATCGTTCACAAGTAATGGCACCAAAGTTGCGGCCTTATTGTGTCAATTAATTACATGTCATGTATTTTTATTATTCTTATAGCTATTATAAATTTATTATTTATTTATTTATTTTAATTAATTAAATACAATAACAAAACAATATAAATACCATTTCCATTATCGCCGCAAATCTCGCATATTTTGCACAAATTTTTATCACTCATACTGTTATAAATTGATTTACCAATTCAATCCTTATTTCTAGAAACTCTTTCACCAAGTTAACAATAATTTTTGACAAATGTGTTTAAATAATATTTTTTGCAATCGTCAATGATTGCGATAATCACTTATAAAAATCATATAAAATGATATGTCATTGAATTTATTGACATTAACCAAAAATTTACACATAAATAATAAATTAAAAATTTAATGTATGTTTTATTTCAAAATTATAAGTAATTAAAATACAACAAAAATGAAATTGTTATTTAAATACAACAATTATTGTTTATTCCTTATAAGAATTTTATTTAATATTAATTTATTTAGGTTTTTGTACGATTATTACAACTAATAATATTGTATTATTACATTATACAGTAATTAATAATTATTATATCAGGTATAAAATGTAAACAATACCAGGTTTATAATAGAGTTGTGCACATTATGGTGAAAATACTTCTTGTAAAAGAGGTCCGAAGTATTTTTTATATGGTTTATATTCAATATCAAAAGAATTGTATTGAACTTCATTCAAAAATTTTAAATCAATTAAAGTATTCATTAAATTTTGCACTTTTATTCCCGATTCCGACGGGTATTTCAAGAGTAGATATCTTTGCAGTAAATATATATACAGTTNCACTTTTATTCCCGATTCCGACGGGTATTTCAAGAGTAGATATCTTTGCAGTAAATATATATACAGTTGTTGTTCGAGTCTAACAAACAAATTAAATATAAAATGTTTAAAATAAATTTAATTAAAAAACTAAAATATTTACCTCACAGAATTTCTATGTACCAAACACTTTGGCAAAGGTTTAACAAAAATGGTCAAATTTTTATAAAAATTTATTCGTGATTAAAACATTAATAAAGAAGAATAAATATACAAAAATTATTATTTTAAGTCAAGAATTTTTTAGATATTTTCGGAGATTTTCCAAAATACAAAATCAATTTGCTAGAAAACTAAACAAGATATTTAAAAAATTCCAACGGATCCATGAAGTGAAAGTAAAGTAGCATACATATTATAAGAATGATTTTATTTAAAATTAATTTTATTTACCATAAATTACAAAATGCTCCTGATCATTCCACCAGAAAAATACCACAAGTTTCTTTGCATAGTATTGTAGAGTTTGAATGGATCTTTCAAATGATATATATATTGATAGTGGTATTATTCCGGTGAAAGAATCTGTCGAGAATTTTGTAATTTAATCGTTATTTTGAATAACTAAAATCAATTTTTAATGTAAACATTCTTTTAATATTTATACTACTTCACATTCAAGTCATGAATCCGTTGGAATTTTTAAAATAACATGTTTAGTTTTCTCGGAAATTGACTTTGAATTTTTAAACTATAATATGATCCAGTTACAATATGTTTTGATATGGAATAATAATTTTTACATTTTTTGTTATTGAATAATCTATTGATTATTTTAATAACATCCTGAGTTTGTTTTCATTTCAAGACAATTAAAGTTTGCCATCGTGTTTGGTTGATTTGGGTTAAACAGTATGATTGCCCTCAACTAAATAATAATAATATATATAGTATATTCATTAAACTTAGGATATAAAATATAGTTGGGTACATAAAACATACCAGGTTTATAATAATAGGATCTTTATAATCCCATTCCGATAGGAATTTCTCATAATAATCTCGCAAAAATATAAGTGAGTTAGTTGCATCGATGAGGCTTACACTTACCTGCAATGAATATTCATTTCCCTGATGGTAATTAAAAAATATATAATAAATATAAAATATAAACAAATTATTACTAGCTCAATTATTCATTAATATTACAATTAACACTCACTATTGGTGTTACAAAACATTCGGTCTCTCTATCATAATGTCTTAGAGTGCAGATAGAGATGATATCTTTGGTGTTGTACTTAACTAACGCTAACCTATCGTCGGCACACATATTGTTGAAACCCATCAAACCTTTTGTGAAACTAATTATATCTGTTATGAGTTTTTCATTCATATACGAAAACTTTTTAATTAATTCCTCCAAATTCTCCATTTTATACGTTAAGCCGTTACTAATCAACGGATAGTTTAATACATCCGAAGCCATCATTAACTCCGATATCCGATTGATTTCCAATTGCTTTAATCCGTTATAATCTGTTAATTCATTGCTTATGTAAATGATAGACAATTCTTGTGATAAATTTTGTTTATAACATTGGATGTGATTATTAGTTGTATTATTAAGATCTGTATCATTAATAACTGTTTGCATAATTTGTTTGTCCGAATTATTATAGATTAAATTCTCAAAAGGATTGCACTTTAAGTCAAACTCAACATTGTTTTCATTAATTAATAAATTGTTTTGAGGATTAAGTTTGGGGTTTGCGTTGATTTGCATTTGTTTGAATTTATTTTCAATTATTAATTGCTTTTTTCTTTTATTTTGCTCATTATTTCGGATTAATTCCTATTAATATTATTATAGATAATAAATAAATTTATTAATTTATTAAAAATTAAGACCTTTTTCATTCCCATAGCAAAACACTTATTGAGTCTACACTTTTTGCATATCTGTCTCGTCAATGGATTTATAATGCATTTGCCATTTGATGGACAATACATTGGCTAATAAAACAGATTAATTAAAGAATTAATTTTTATATAATTAATTATTTAATAAATATAATTAATACTTGATCTTTGAGGCCATTTCTCCTAAAAAAGGCTTTGCATGGCTCACAAGTAATGACACCGAAGTTACGACCTATCATTTAAATTTTAAATGAATTGTTATATTATTTAATTAGTATTTAATTACATTATAATTTATAATATATTTAAATAATAATTTATAAACCAAGATTATACACCTTTCCCAATATCGCCACAAATAGCGCACATTTTAATTATTTTGTTTGCGCTCATAATTTAATATATTGTCAATACTAATAATAATAATTTTATTTTATTTGTGTAAACATTTTCAGCACATAATAATTACAACATAAAAAATATTTCATTGATAGCCTCTTGAATGCGATAATAACTTCACAATATTTTATTATCAATGATATTAATATGACATTGAATTCATTTGAAAAATAAATTTATTTTTATCAACAATTTATATCAATTTAAAAATGAAATTATAATAAATAACATTATATTTATTAAAATATATTAATAAATTACAAAGTTGAAGTAAAATTAGCAAATTACTTTTATTTTATTTTATTGCCTAAATAAATATCAGGTTTTGAAAATTCAGTGTAATTTAAATTATAATTTAACATGCACAATTTGGAAAATAAACACAATGAATTTAGTGGTGTAATCACACATTATTATGAATATAGTTCGTCCATAAGTGGTCCTGGGTATTTGTAATTCATTTTTAATTCATTATAAAGTTTACCCTGAATTTGATTTAAAGTATTCATATCCTTCAATGACTCCATTAGTGTTTGAAGTCTTGGCTGTGATTCCGATTCCGAGCGGTATTTCAAGAGTAGATATCTTTGCAGTAAATATATATACAGTTGTTGTTCGAGTCTAATAAACAATTTAATAATTCAATTATTAATTAATAATTAATGTTTATATTTATGTCAATACCTGACAGTAGTTCTATGCAATAAATCTGGTTGATTTGGGTTAAATAACAAAATTGCAGTCAGCTGAATTCACAAATACACAATTGATTATTATTATGATAATAAGTTGAAATAAATTATATTACCAGGTCAATAATAATGTGATCATCGTAATTCCAGATAGATATGAACTTTTCATAATATGATTTTAAAATAGGTGCTAATCCCATTGGTTCATAAATATCTAAACCAAGGTAGAATGAATGATCCGGGTCCTAAATAATACATCTATTTATTACTAATGTTAAACGTGTTAAACAAAATTAAATGTTCAATGAGCAAAAATTACCCGTTGTATTCTAAAGCCTGTAATGTCTTTGTTATAGTACTTAAGGCTCCGAATTAGCATCAAATCTTTGCCCCCGTATTTCATGAGCGCATACTTATCGTCGGCACAGATATTGTTGAATCCGTTCAGACTTTTTGTGAATTGAATTATTTGTCGAATAAATTGTTCGTTCATTTCTGTCAATTGAGTAATCATTTCATTGTAATCCTTAATCCTATGTATAATCGCATTGCTATTCAATGATTGAGTTGTGATTTTGTTGGTAGCGATCAGTAGTTCTGCTATGCGTTTGGACTCCAATTGATTGATACCATTATAATCACTGATTGTCTTAAATACGGGAATTACTGACAATTCTTGCTGTGGATTATAATTAGCGGGCATTACATCAAAGTTTTCATTTGTATTATTTTCAACAACAACTTCTTCAATGCCATCAAAATTAAGCAAATTATTGTTTATTAAATCAAACATAAAGTTCTCTTCAATAGTTGTGTCGCTAATAATTGAATTGTTTTGTGAATTATTATTATTTGAAAAATCATTACAATTATGGGATCCATCGCTGAGTTTATGTTTTAATTTATTTTCTTTAATTAATTCTTTTCTGCAATTGTTTTGTTCATCACTTCGTATTAATTCCTGTAATTATTAATCAAAAATAATATTTTAATATTAAAACATATAAATAACTAAATTACAGTATACTGTAAATACACAATAAATATACTTTAAATACCGTTTTCATGCCAACAGCAAAACACTTCTCAAGTCTGCATTTATAGCAATACCTTCTCGTCATTACATTGATATCGCATTTGCCATTTAATGAACAAATCAGTGGCTATTCATATAATTATAATTAACAATAACTTTAAGTTTAGGGCAAAAATATAATCCTAACCTCATTTTTTAATGCGTGTCTCTTGAAGAATGTTTTACACGACTCGCAATTCATGGCACCATAATTCCGAGCTATAAATACAGTGTTAATGGTACTAGATTAAATAAATAAAATTTTCAGTTAATTCACCTCGTCCTTTGTCGCCACAAATATCACATATTTTAGCCATTTTCTTATTACTCATATTTCTATATATTTATAACAATTAAATAATACAGTATATTTAAAAATATCTAGTTATATTGTATAAATATTTAACAAAACACAATTTCTAACCAACATTAATTTGTTATCAATATGTATACACTCTTAGAGGATCAGTGGATAACACAATCACTCACTTACTGATCATTAAATTAAAACCTGATTTCTATACGACATTGAAGTGTAAGCAACTAAAGTGTTTTCATTGTTTTATTGTTATAAAGTATTGCTTTATTATTAAAAATAGAAATTCTTTATAAATAGTAAAATTATGTCTAATTTAGCTAGAACCAATAATACAATAATTTTTAAAAATACAAAAATATTAACTAACTTTATACATGTAATTGAGAACAATCATTTTAATCGCATAAATCTTACATTCAATTAATTTTATTAATTATTATTTTAAATTAGAATTTTATAATGATCAAAAGTGGTCAAATAATTTTATTATAAATTATTTTAATATTAAATGTACATTTTAAAATGAATTTTTTATCAAAATGAATGTTAAATGTGTAAAGAATTAGAATTAGTATTTGTAGTCTTATTTAAAGAAAAAGGCTTAAAACAGTTATTGTTGTATACAATTATTTTAAACAATTTAAATCTATATTTATAAAAATCTGTTCCAAAATATATTATTTAAAAAATTTTATAATTTGAAAGTTTTGAAGTGTTTATTCAAAATGAGTGCCGAAACCGACGGTAAAAGTGATAAACACCTGAAGACAGTTGTCTTAAATCACGATATAGTGATTGAGATCTTCTCATACCTCGAGATCCATGAGTTGTTACCTCTGGAGAGAGTCTCAAATCANTCTCATACCTCGAGATCCATGAGTTGTTACCTCTGGAGAGAGTCTCAAATCAGTTCCAGTTTTGCGCCAACTATTGGTTCCGCAAACAGAAGACACTTTCAATCAACAGTTCATTCAAATCCCAGAGATATCTACTAAAAGATGATATCACTCCCCGAATGTATGTAATTCCGGCACATATTCTTGAAACCGATTTACACGGAAAGCCAAGCCTTACACTCAGTAAAGAGCGGATACTTTGGTTGATACAAAAGATACCAAACATTAAGTGTCTGTCAATCCGTCACTTCGACACCGATTATCAAACACTGTATGATATTCTCGTTGCCATCAAATCGTTGAAAACGCTATACATTAACGTTTCCGCTCATTTCACAGTCGATGAAACCATACGTTTGGGACAATTATTGTCAAAAAATATCACTCGTTTTGGAATTAATCTGTATTTTACACACTTTGCAAATATGGTTGAACTGAACCGAGAGTTAACTGGATTAACACACACACGCATTACTCTAGTGAGTAACATAAGTGAAAATATTATTTCCGATGTATTCAATACATTACCGAAGAGTATTAAATCGTTACAACTCGAGGCCAATGCACCCATTAATCAACAATTAGCGCAAACTCTGATTGAAAGTAATGCTAACCAATTGGATTCCCTGTATATTTATTACGGGAACAATACTTTAACTGCCGATGGGTTGGAAGTGATTATCAATGGTATGGCATTGAAAGCGTTTTCATACAGTTTGAAACGTGATTCAAATGAATGGCATTGTTTGCAAAGAGTGGCCCAAAAGCAGACAAATCTCGTATATCTGGGTCTTGAATGTCAATGGTTTCGCGATTATGACTTTACCGAGAATTTGAACCGATTTTATTCAGTCAAAACACTTTCACTCAATTCATGTTTTCCACAGCAATCGGCATTTGAATCACTTGTGAAATGCTTTCCAGTCCTCAACACTTTGATACTCACCAACACATCAATCGCTTGTGATATCGAAGGCTTTAACTGTTTGACATGTTTTCGGCAAACCTATCATTTGATCGCAAAACACACATCCATTAGAATATTGAGTATTTGTTACCAAGATTTGAGAGAAAATACTGCAGTTTTGTGTCAACAATTCAATGAATTTTACAATTTATCGGCCATTCATTTGAATTTCTACAACAGTCCTAATCTCAAGGATTACACAAATATATGTCGACAACTGATAACTGATTTCATGGATTGGTATTCAATAGACCCGAAGAAATGGTTCACAATCTGTGTTCACAACAATACTAGAGATCTAACTATTGGTCGACAAATACCAAGAAATTTGAGAATTAGAAGAAATTTATATTAAATTGTTTAAATGATATGTTATATTTAGCATCAGAAACCAATAAACTCTATATCAACATCTAGCAAAGCAGGCAAATGTTTAATAATATTTTTAATGTTTTAATACAAGCAAAAACAAATTATGTTACAAATATTTAATGAATAAACTTCTATATCTAAGTATTTTTGACAATAATTTCAATGGTTATGAATACTCCAAGAATTTGATGCAATTTTTAAAAGTGAAAACACTTGAAAGCCCTATTAAAGTGTTTCCCAGCGCTTAAGACACTAGTATTGGGCGAAACTACCATTGATTGTCGTATTGCTGAAACTAATTGTTTGACATGTTTTGGCCAAATGTATCGTTTGATTGCAAAACACTCGACAATTAAAGTATTGGGTCTTTATTACGAAGATTTGAGCGGAAAGACAGCCGTTTTGTGTAAACAATTGAATGAGTTTCACAATTTATTGGCCATTCATTTGATCCATTATGATCATCACAGTACCGAAGTGTACGTAAAACTATGTCACCAATTGATCACTGATTTCATGGATTGGTATTCAATAGACCCCAAGAAATGGTTCACAATTTGTATCCACAACGACATTACACACGACTTCTCGACAGGACTTCAAATACCAAGAAATTTAAAAATTCGAAGAAATTTGTATTAAAAAAATACATTTATTTAAAGTCATATAAAAGACACAAACAATAAATGCAATCAATTAGTTCTGAATAATTAATAAATATCTATGAAAAGAATGTTTTATTTTGTCATAAATGTAATGCACAGTCACTTCGAGTTATGATAAATATATGATAAATATAATTTATAATTTTAAAGTTAATACAATTTTTCAAGCGGTTAATGAATATAAATAAAATTATAATTTGTATTAGTTAAAAGTTAATAATAGTTAATAATTGCTTATAACACATATTTTACTTTATTTTCACATAATTTAGTGTTTATTTAAATTTCTACAAATTTTTAAGTTTCTGGGAATTTCATGTCCGACATTGAAGTCATGTGTAATATCTTTGAGGACACGTATTGTGAACCACTTCTTAGGATTACTTAAATAACAATCGATGAAATCAGTGATCAATTGATGGCAACGGTTTAAATAGTTCTTTAAATGGAGATCAGATGAAGTGTTCAAATGAATGGCCGATAAATTTTGAAACTCATTGAATTGTTTTAAATTATTTAAGATATTTTAAATTAAGTGCCAAATGTCCAAACATTGAAAAGAATATAATTTTGTTGACATTTGTAAAAATATAAGGTAAAATAGTTATTGTCTAAAATTATTTCAAATTTTAAAAATTTTATTACACAAATCTGTCGCAAATATATTGTTTTTAAAAATTTGTAATAAACACTAATTTCAAAGTTTTATTCAAAAATAATTCAAAATGAGTGTCGAAACAGACGGCAAAAGCGGTAAACATCTGAAGATAGTTGTCTTAAATCACGATATAGTGATTGAGATCTTTTCACACCTTGAGATCCATGAGTTGTTACTTCTGGAGAGAGTCTCCAAACAGTTCCAGTTTTGCGCCGACTATTGGTTCCGCAAACAGAAGACACTTTCAATCAATAGATGTGAAGAAAGCAATAGATATCTACCAAACGATGATATCATTCCCCGAATGTCTTCAATACCGACACATATTCTTCAGACCAATTCAGATGAAAATCTAAGTCTTACACTGAGTAAAGAGCGAATACTTTTGTTAATACAAAAGTTACCAAACATTGAGTGTCTGGGGATTTCTCACGTCGACACCGATTATCAAACACTGTATGACATTCTCGATGCCATGAAATCGTTGAAAAAGCTATACATTAGTGTTTCCACTCAATTCAAACCCAATGAAACCATACGTTTGGGACAATTATTGTCAACAAATATCACTCGTTTTGGAGTTAATTCGGATTTTACACACTTTGCAAATATTGTTGAACTGATCCGAGAGTTAACCGGATTAACAAATCTATGGGTTACTCTATTTAGTAACAATATTATTTTCGATTTATTCTATACATTACCGAAGAGTATTAAATCGTTACAACTCGAGGCCTATGCACTCATCGATCAACAATTAGCGCTAACTCTGATTGATAGTAATGTCAAACAATTGGATTCTCTATATATTGATAATACCTATGGTTTAACTATCGATGCGTTGGAAGTGATCATCAATGGTATGGCATTGAAAGCGTTTTCATATGCTTTGTATTCAGAAACAACTCACTGGCATTGTTTGCAAAGAGTGGCCCAAAAGCAGACAAATCTCGTATATCTGGGTCTTGAATATCAATGGTTTAGTGATTATGCATATACAGAGAATTTGAACAGATTTTGTTCAGTCAAAAAACTTTTACTCAATTCATGTTATCCAAAACAATCGGCGTTTGAATTACTCGTGAAATGCTTTCCAGTCCTTAAAACTTTGATACTCACCAACACATCAATCGCTTGTGATATTGAAGGTTTCAATTGTTTGACATGTTTTCGACAAACCTATCATTTGATCGCAAAATACACATCCATTAGAATATTGAGCATTTGTTACGAAGATTTGAGCAAAAATACTACAGTTTTGTGCCAACAATTCAATGAATTTCACAATTTATTGGCCATTCATTTGAATTTTTACAGAAGTCCAGATCTAAAAGGTTACACAACAATTTGTCGACAATTGATCACTGATTTTATCGATTGGTATTCAATAGATCTCAAGAAATGGTTCACAATCTGTGTTCACAACAATACCGGAGATCTAAGTATTGATCGACAAATACCCAGGAATTTAAGAATTAGAAGAAATTTATATTAAATTGTTTGAATATAAGATATCATATATTCTGCACAAATAAACTCTATATAATATATAATATAATTAAATGGGTAATTAATTCAACAGAATAGTACAGTCGACTATCGATGCTGTCAACAGAATGGTTCCTGGGATTTGGTTGATTACATAAATTAGT